CGATAGGTGCGCGAGATATGCAAAATACAGTACGGTCCTCCGTACTTTCTTACGCGATAACATTTCGACGACGATCGAACGAGTTCCATTATTCGATTATTCGTTGGAGAAATCAATGGATCAAAATAATCGGAATTTCGTGAATTTTATACAGCAAATAATACACGCCAATGGAGATCGAATTAAGTACAATGTCAAAGTGAACTCGACGGATCGCCGAGAAACGGTCTCGCGTAAATGTCTACTTAATAAGAGAAGTACAGTGATTATCGATATTTAATCAACGATTCAACACGGAGAGTAGCATCGCGAAACAAAGAAATCCCTTCGGTCGTCCTGGATCATTAACCCCCTGCGTGTATCGCTTAATCGATTCTACGTAAACCTGCTTGAGTATTCAAAGGAATTTACACAATATCATTCTCATCTCCGCGAAAACGTGTCCCGCGAAACAATGACAGGAAACATTGCCTCGGACAGATGAAGGAAAATCTCAATTCAAACAACTCGGAACTGTCCGAACTCACCGATAATCGAACACAAATGTCGACGAACGCGAACACGGCCCGCCTGAGAAAAGAGCTCGCCGACGCTCTACGTGTCGCGCTTTCTCGTGGAATGTACTCCAATTAACGCATTGTCGACGGTGTGCACCTATTCGGAGGAATGTAACTATCTCGCCAAGCGAGACCCAGTATCAAAATTCAGCAGCGAAACAATAATCTTCGCGTAATTATTCTTCATATTTCTAATAAACATCTTCGATCGTTAATGCTCGTCATGTAAGAAACGCTAATTCCCGTGTCCAATGAACGATACTCGAGAATATTAGAAAACGCCGATCTTCCATCAACAATGCGTTAACAATTGCACGCCTCCCATTCGCGGTCAACCATTCTGGAACGAAAAATCGTCGGAATGTACGTCCGCCGTCTCGTCACGGCGGAACCAGTCGTTTAAATAATAAATACAGTCCGTGCAACGCTCGCTTCGACCGAGGCAACGAGATCGCGTCGAAGGAGTTCGACGGTCGCGCGTATTTCCGGTTAACGACCGGATAACATTCGATGCTCCCTCTTGGAGGGAGCTTCCGCACATAGTTCTGTTGCTTTCGAAAAAGATCATTCGAGCCTCGTTCACTGCATCATCGTCGGGTTGCCGTTGGGCAGAGAGTTCTGCGTCGGGATCGAGGTGATCGGCGCCCGCTGCGTGGCGTTCAGATCCGCGTGTTGCGTCTCCCGGTGCCTTCTCAGGTCCACCTTCCGCTGGAAAGCTCGACCGCACAGCTCGCAGGCGAACGGCTTGAAGCCGGTGTGCTTCCTCGAGTGCGTGATCAGGTTACTGCTCTGCGAGAACGCCTTGCCGCATACCTGACACTTGTGCGGCTTTTCGCCTGGAACATAAATGGGAAATGCTTGTCAGATTTATCGTCGGTTGGAATGATTCTGTATGTTTCATAGATTTCTATATTCTTTGGGGAACTATTGGGTTGGCTCGAGAATCTGTTAACAGCGAGGAGTGTTGAAAGGTGTTATCAAGTTTTAATTTGAGGTTCTTAAGCATAGCAAATTTCGAGAATTTTATTGAAGAATTTTGAAGAATTTTGAAGAAACCGAAAGTTGTACCAGGTGTACCGAAACTATCTTTCCCAACAAGTAACGCTACCAATCTCCAACTCATTCTTAACACACTGATTCCAAGTGCCACTTAAGACTGTCCCTACAACTCACCAGAGACAACTCTACGAAGCAACAAATTCCTCGTTCCGCGCGAACAAATCCGGATCGAAAAAATCCCTAGCCCCCGAAATCCATCCGGGAGCCAACCCCGTTTCACGGAGCATCCCGACGGCAATCTCACCGTCGACATTTCTCGCCATTCTCTCGCCTCAGGCACAGCATTCTAGCGGTCGGGAGCGTTAATTCGTAGGCACCGTCGATGCTCGGCCCGACGCTGGTCGAACGGAGTGGCCAAGGATCCTCGGCCGCTGCCATGGAACTCGTAAGTGTAGCAGCGCAGAGGGAGGATGTAGTTGCTCGAGGGGGTGGTATCAGGGATGCGGGGCACGCCCGGTCAAGATTTCCTCCCAAGCGAGAATCTCAGCCTCCCCGGCGGCGAGGGGCAGGGAGATAGAGAGAGGAGATCGCGTGGGTGTAGATGGTCGATGGGGTGAGGCGCGCGGAGGGTTGGGCGCGGTGGGGGTTGCAGCCGTTCGTTTCTCCGTCGGTGGCCGCGAGTTCTGATTGGCGGCCGGGGGCGGCTCCAACCCCCGCGTTTCCATGGTTACCGGCGGGATAACCCGGCGGTCGACCGTGAAAGAAAGAGAAAGAGCCACGGTGCGAACAGAGACGAGCTGGATTCTCCAATGGAGAACGGTCGGTTGAAGAGGTCG